TTGAATTGACGTTACAAGATTTTGAGCAGCGCTTTCTATATCATCCTTATTTTTAAGGGATATATTAAGGTAGGTTGTGTTTTGCATAATTTCGGAAAATTCGTCCCATTTGATCGGGCCTTGAGATAATGATGGATGTGGAGGAGTTGGTTCTATTGATGCAATCGATTTCTTAAACTTAAATAGTAACGTTTATCTCAGTCTTTGAGTTATTTGTTTCAATATCTGTTGTTGCTATATTTTGAACTAACTTTACCATTCGACTGGCCCTTTTAGTTCTGTTTACTTCCATGGTATGTGAGTAACAAGATATAATAATACACTTGAAATCTTACTTATAAATTATTAGAATAACAAATAACGAATAAAATCGTCATAATAAAGAATAAAATATTAAAATTTTAATATTTAAAACAATCCATTGATAATAAAATAATGATTATCAGTTTTTACAGAAAACGACCAAGCCACTTGGATTGATATTATATTAGTATTATTATCAGTCATACCTCCATTACAAAACCACGCGTCATGGATGTATTATGCATTAATTTTTATCGATATAATCATTCAGTTAGTTTTTGAAATATTGATAGATAGCGTTACACTTCAATGTTGGTTTGGTTGTATTTTGCAGAATACGTAAATTGAAATTCTCTATCTGGTTCTACTAAAACCTCGTTTTTCATTAGATTGTGGGATGGTTGCTTTCTGCATAACGTTATTCAACTTATAACCATTGAACCCCGAACCCGTATTACCAATGTCAACCAACACGAAACGTACGTCCGTGGAAAGCGTGAACGATAATTATTTATGTATTTATTTAATTCATAATGCCTAATGTGTAAGACAGAGCATTAATTAAAATTTTAATTATGTTATACAACTCGATAAACAAACTAAGTATAATTTATTGGATTAACAAATGAATATTAAAAAAGTCATCATAATTATTCAAATGACTATTACAATAATTTAAAATATGGTTTATTATTTTGTATTAAGCTATTTAAGTCTTGAGACAACATTTTGTTTACATTTTGTTATATAGAAAGTAAAATTAGTACAAGTGTTCACGGGTAGAATACGAAAATTTATCTTGTTTAATGATTATTCAAGACACACCGCACATTACATTACCGTTTAGTAATTCATATACAAACAGAATATTATTATAATTTCGCAAACTCGCACTGATGATAAAGATGATAAATTTCATTTTTTTTTCAACGTTTTTGCGTCATCGTCGTATACAAATTTATATTTATATAGTAGTGTGTTGATGTATATTGACCGCCATAAAGTTGGCGCTTACACTATTTTTGAAACAAGTTTTATAAATACAGTTGCGTATTTATGAAGGGGCGATATGGTGCATAGATTCCCTCCCATGCCTTTTTTTTAAACCCTATATAACAGTATAATAATATAGTTGTTACTTTTAACTTTGTTATCTTGTGAGTTGTGAGTGAAATTACCGTTGATTAAGCATATATTTATTTATGTCTATGTTTTAATCAATGAAATTACAAAATAATAACAACAAAATTAAAATCAGACCAAACCGTCGCTTCGTAACCGGAATTCCTTACTCAGAGTAGGTAACTGAAGTTAAAAAGTTGCAATAGCTATACCTACCTGATTTTATTTTATGATGAAAGATTATTTTTGGCTGGGATACCAGGTACCAGCATTAAAAATATTATACACAATTTTTAAGGGATTATTATTAATTATAAAATTTACAAAAGTACTAAAAACGTGTTTTCAAGAGAATCTTTTATAAGTACGTCCCTGTTTTATATTGTACCATAATTCTGTAAGTAATTAGCAAGAGCTTGCAAGCTTACTATCGAAATTTGAAAGTCAACCATCCCTTCCAACGATTTTTTAAAGAGTACAACCTCAGCTCTTATTTGTTCTTCAATTCATTTAGACTAACCATGGTAGTAAAAATTAAGTTCCTACGAAATAATTTTTAATAATATAATTATACATTAATATTTTAATCTCTTAATTATTATAGATAAACAGCTACCCTAAATTCAGAATAGCCTATGCATAATAAAATAATAAACTAAGAAATCGGATAAAAACTTATTAGATAAACATATTCCTTGCAATTCATTCAAAAATAGAGATTTTTTATTTTAACTTTAACTTATCAAATATTCTCTTACTGGTTATTAGTTATTACTGTCGTGTGTGAATATGCGTATTATTATTTTTTTTTTTTTTTTAGAAACGCTTATAACGAACGACTCCGAATATACAAAACGTAGACCGATCGATCGGCGTTCGTAAAAAAAAAAACTAACAGCCTATTCCACAAAAAAAAAAAAAATATCGAAACACATTAATTATATTGGCTCGTAAACGAACGAAATGCGAATGGATGAAGGGTGGAAAAATATCGTTGCAGTATTAGAGAACGAAAAAAGATCCGAACGCTTTTATTTCACTCGCGTAATTAACGATGCACGATAAAACCACGTTTTTTTATGCCAAAAATAAAATTTGGATCTAATTCGTAGAGTTTAATTACTCACCTGCAGCGTTTCACATATACAGTAAGTCCTCGTTTTGACGGCGTTTGTAATATATGTGTTCATCAAATTTTTGTTAGACGTATTTATATGTATATCTTGTATAAATCGTAACAATAAGTAATTTAATTTCGTCGACCTTTTTCAGATAAAATACTGTTATCGTCATGATCGATATACCTATCACATGTATATAAATACTGTTTTTATTTATTTTTGGTAATATGTACTCAGTAATCGTTTTACATTTTTTAAAAAATAAATTTAAAATGCGTACCTACTTAACTAACCATAATTATTCGTTAATTTTTAGTATGATAAATGTGTAATCTAACATGATTTAATACAAACAATTAAATCGTGCAGTTATAAAAAATATGTATATTGTTATTTATTGGCTGGAACCCATCATAATAAAGTGCATGTAAAAACTAAAAAGTGTTTTTTCAATTAACGTCGTGTTTTCTAGGAACATAACCTCAACGTTAAACGAGACTTACTAATTACTGTACATACACGTCTTCAGAGACATACATTGCTACCGAAACGATAATATGTGTATAGCGTCATATTTTACTCAAAGAGTGAAATAAAAATCCCTTACACGGAGACATAATATAAAAAATACACAACAACACAGGTTTAAATTGTATTTGAATAGAGATGCGACGTTTAATAGGAATTTATTTAGTATAGAATACGTTTGATAACGTTTCTAGCGGGGGAAAATAATTAAACTTAGATAAATCATCCACTTCTTTGACCACACATGAACGTGCGTCAAACGAATACCGAGAAAAAAGTCGTTGAAAAGCGACGAACATAAAAAGGTTTAAATAAAAAATATATTATTTTTATTATCGGTGCTGTAAACCGATGGAGGATTTATTTTTATTTTTTTACATGCATTTGAATTAAGAATGTGTAAACAACAATCGAATGTATTACGTCGACAAGAGTTTATTATAATTGGATAGTCTGATTTAGTATTTTTTTTTTTTTTTTTTTTTTTGGCAGACTAGAAAATTACATTTTATTATACATTTTTATGTAACAGAAACAATTCCTTTGAAATGGAAAAAATACTTTTAAATGGTGAGAGGAAAAGCAAAAGCAAAGCAACATAAAAAAAAAAAGGAAACGAATATTTAATATGTAATTGAAATTCTTTTAAAGTTATTGACATTTTTAGCTGTCTATTCTTTTGTTAGGTAAGTATCAAAATACCTAGCCAAAAATTTATTTTTAAAATTCGATATACAGCATGATGTATCGTTAATAAGAGATTCATATCGCGACGATTACACAAAACTTATTTGAACACCAACAAAGAATTTGTTAAAAACACTTGTGTGAAAAATATATTTAAAATTGTAAAAACATACATTACATACAAACTGTTTTTCATGGAAATAACGTCAAAACATTTATTTTACCAACACTCATTAGAATAAAATTATTTTTCAAATTTAACACTCATCATACTCTTTATTCAATATGAACAAGCAAAGTGTTTTAAAAGTACCTAAATAATTGATAATCACTTTACAAATAAACAAACGTTAGTATTTAAATTAATAAAACAATTTATGTATTAATTAAATGTCAATTTCAATGGGTTATAATTCTTCAAACGTTCTGAACACTGAAGTGCATAGCACATAAAATATATAACCTTATTTATTATTACCTAACCTTATTTCTACACTTTAGTCTAATAAAAAAAAAAAAAACTTTGATTAGTTTAATTAAAAGCTTTTGTATGTGTTAGAAGTAGATAGTGGATAGAGATAAATAACAAATTACACTCGCATCCATTTAAGACCCAAGTTAATCTATGTTTTGCCTATTACATTTTAAAACCAGTACAAAACCAGTACAATATCGAGCTAATATTATAAAATTTAGAGATCATAATAATCACATGTAAAACACCAATCGTTTAGTATTTTATTAGAAGTATATAAACAAAAAAATAACAAATGTTAAAATATTGAAAAACAAAAATTTTATATTTTTTAAGTTTTAACTAACAATTTTATTATTTTCATTTATTATTATATTAAAAAATATATAAATTATTAAATTCATTTAAAACAAATCAAAGTCTATTAAAAAAAAAAATTGTGACAAAAATAACATCTAGCTAAACTAAATAGGTACTTTTATAACGGTATAATATAGAAATAAAACTATCTCTATAAAACCAAAAAAAAAAAAAAACAAGCTAAATAAATAAAATTAGTAACATGATTGCACGTAAATTTCATTGATTAGTCAAAACTTCCGTTTTTCTATAATCACAATATTTCACATTGAAATAAACATCACATTACATAAATTAGTAAATTAACAAAAAAAAAAAAACAGGAACAATATCAATAAATTGTGTATTAATAAAAAAAAATTGTGAGATGCACAATATCATTTTTAGATTTAAAAACAGTATAATCATAATAATAATTGTTGTCATACATAATATCAAATTATTGGTTGTACACACTATCAATGTCTCATTAAATATTTTTTATTTTATTTAATGCAATATAATTTTTTTTTACTCTGATTATTAACTAGCTAACCTATCATTAAGTACGTACATGTCAATTCGTTTCTAAATAACTCTTTTAAAAATAACCGTGGAAAACCACAGTTATCAAAAAATAAATAAATAAATTGCTAGGAAATAATTATCTATGTTGTCATTAGGAACATTGTCTTGTAGATTCAGAGGTAGGAAGGTCCAGCAATCTCTTGATTGAGTCCAGCATGGTCCAAAGCCAATTTGCTCTGTATGTCATCCTTGAGTCTGAATAGAACATGTCTAATGTCAGAATTTCCAGACGGTACTAGTCTCACAGCTTCTTGAATATCTGTTAACGCATCATCATATCTCCTGTAAAAAGAAAAAAAATCATTATAATTTTACATTTTACTTAATTGTTCTTTTGTAGTCTCATACCTCAGGTCTTTTAGAGCTTTGGCCCTGGCGTAATATGCTTCAAAGGATGTTGTTTTCAGCTTCAGTACTTTTTCTGCAAACTCTATAGACTCGTGGACTTCCTACAATAACAATTTTGTCTTAAGGTCTTGATTATGCATAAATGTTAGAAAAACGATATACTTACATTCAACTTTCTTTTACAGCGCGAAGTGTTTAAATAAAAATTAATTTGAAGTTGTTTGAAAGTAGAGTCCAGTTCGTGTTCTGGTGGGAATTTGTTTAGAGCATATGTATATCTGTAAGCGGCCTCCTTTAATCTTCCTTTTCTGTATAATGTATTTCCATCTTCCAAAAGCTTGTTGAGCAAAACCAACCTACAAAATAATTTTTGTAGTCAATAAATGCATTTATAAGAGAACACATGAAAAAAAAAATTATGTTTACATTATATCTGGTTTTCCTGATGCCATATTCCATGTTGTAGGACCAAGCTTTGCACCTCTTCTCAAGAAGTTCTGCACCACTGGTACATTTCTACAGCTGATTGCTCTATCTAAAGGACGCATTCCATAAAGGTCGACATGTTCAATCAACGCTCCTCTTTCTAATAAGAGCTAAGAAGAAAAAAAAAACATATTTAACATTTTTACATTACTCGCATATCTGATAATTATTTTGTTTATTTTACGTACCTGTACTAAGGCCGGATTTCCATTTAAAGTTGCCAAATCAAGAGCAGTTTTTCCTGATTTATCTGCATGATCTATGGGTGCTCCACGATCTAGAAGATATTGGGCAATAGCTACTCTTCCTTTGAGACAAGCCCAACTCAACGAAGTCTGTCCTTGGCGATCTTCAGCACTCAAATCAGCACCTGCATACAATTAATTTAAAATATAATACACTACCAACTGATACATTTAGACCCATTATTATTTAAGTTTAATACTTATATAATAAAATTAAAGTAACAATTATAAATAAATTAACAAGATTTAAAGTATACAATATACAACACTAAATATTATATTTAATTTAGACGGAAAAAATTCTATTGTAATCTAAAAATATAGAATCACCCCAAACAAAACGATTAGTCATATTTTAAATAATAAAATTTATATGAATGTACCATTCTACCATGCATGTTATGTAGAAATTTAAAAATAAGCTTTAAACATTACTCTAACTATAAATAAATGTACAAAAATGTTTGTTTTTTTTTTGTTAACATAACTTTTATAATACATAGCCCGCGCATTAAATTATTGTATACTTGATTTCGTTAGTTTACTATGTTAGATTTTATTAGTATAGTTATAACAAAAGTCTTGAAAAAACGGTACTAAGAATTCATTATGCTAATCTTTTGAATCATAATTTTCGAAAACTTTTAGTGTATAAACAAAACATTCTATTTAACACCGTTCATTTTGTAGTGTGCGGAAATTTTGAAAACATCAATTTGCGATTATTCGACGCAGAAAATGAGATATTGTTATTTGTGTAGTTCATTGATTTCTCAAAGAGCATCCTCCAAAAGTATTAATACTGGTAATAAACATCAAGATGTATACGTTTGTTTTCTATCGAATCAATCGACTCTCCTCCTAACACCACAAAACTATTGAGTTTATTCGGTACATTGCCGTAATGATACGACTCGTGAAAATGGTCATTGATACTGAACAGACAAGTCCTTACCACTGTCGAGGAGAAGTTCAACGATACTGGAATGGTCCTCGGAAGCGGCCATCATTAGCGGCGTCCTCAGCTCGGAGTCAACCATGTCGACGTGTGTTCCGTTGTGCAATAGGGTCTCGACCACTGCCCATTGGCCGTTACGAGCAGCCAGCGCTAGAGCGTTCATGCCCTAAAAAATATATAAAAAAATACTGCTGTAAGTAAACGGTGGTGGCGGCGGTCGACCGCCTTAATAATTACCTTCACGTTGGCGCACGACACCTGAGCGCCTCGGTCAATCAACAGCACTGCGGTGGACTTGTGACCGTTAGACGACGCCAGCGTCAATGCCGTCTCTCCCGACAGGCTGTCATGCCCGTCCACCGTCACTTCGGCTACGTCCAGCAGGTATTCGACAACGTCATCTACCCCACGTCCGGCTGCCTGAACCAGGGCCTGCTGCGAGGCATCCGCATGGTCGACCTCCGTTCTAGGGTCGGTCACGGTCCACTCGCATCCTGACAGGAACGCCACCACGTTGAAACGACCGTTTTTCGCGGCTTCGACCAGAGGACACCTGTTGCATGGAAGTGAATTAGGATAAGCTGCGATAAGTGAAAGCCTAATACGTCAGTTTTACCTAATACGTCAGTTTTACTACAACTAGGGCCCGGTTAAATTTACAAATACAACAATTTTTTTTTTTATCAGTTTTAATTGAATCGAACGGTTTTTAATCGTTATTTTTTATTTAGTTATGTTCAAAATTTAATTCATGAACTTTCTTGATAGGGGTGTGCAATAAACTTTGGTGCTTTTTTTTAATTTAATTTTTGTTATGAGTCCTTAAATCATAAATCGATATTGCGTAATAAAAATATTAAATTATTATGTATTCCGACTTCTATATTGATTTTAATTTCACGCGTCAACGACTTTTTTAATTTCAGATACATAGTTGTTTAATGACTCACCTGCCAGCAGAATCCGTCAGTCCGGGCGACGCTCCTGCTTCGATCAGCAGCTTAACCACGTCGATATGACCTCGACTCGCGGCCATCCACAGCGGAGTTCGGCCCTGACTATTAGACACGTTCACTGAGGCGCCAAACTCCAACAGCACCGCCACCATGTCATAGACGCCTTCGTGAGCGTAAACGCAAATGGCTGGTGCTCGTCCCAGCATATCGGTTCGGACATCCGGTGATGCGCCGGCGAGCAACAGAAGCCGGGACACTTTAACGTTTGGAGCATACGTATTGCGCATCGAGCACAAAGCAGACGATACACTACTCGACACAGACGCCAGCCAATTTGCCTGAAGGTCTCTGGACGACGCGCCGTCCAAAGGTTGCAATGACACGTTTTTGTACAAGTGAGCTTTCAGAATGTGATGGCCCAGTTCTAGGGTCTTTTCGCTATCTAGCGGCGCCTGTAGTCTTGAAAAACGGAGAGCGATTCCCAAATGTCCATTTCTGTGTTTTTCAAACAAAAATTTAAAATTAAATTAAAATTAAAGTAAAAAATAAAAATAAATAAGTTCAGTTGAGGGAAACAGTATTATACATAAATGTGCGCAAAATAAATAAAAACACTTTTAAAATCATTAAAAATATTATTTATACTTATAAATATAGTGTGCTTATAATAAACATATTATATTTTAAAACACATCAGCTTGTTTTGTAAAAAAAAAACTAATTTATATTTTAAGAGGAGTATAAATTATTATTTTATTACTAAATAAATTACAATAATTGAGTTTAGATAATATTTTTTTTGTTTTTTTTTTTCAATGTTTAATGTTTTAAACAAAAACGAAGTAATTTCAATACGCAAATTCAAACCACATTGCATATCGATAATGTATAAATATGACAAAACAATTCAATTACTGACCTTAAATCGCATACAAATTTCTTCGATTCGCTGTCATCGCGTCTCATCAACCATTCCCTGAACGATGGGTGGAAAAACATATAAGTATTGTCTAGCCGTTTTATGAGCAGTCCCGAGATCAACTGTAAAAATAAAAAAAGTATTTGAAAATTGGTGTTCTTTTTTAAAAGTATGTCTCTGATGTACCTTAAACCTCTGCAAGAACGATTCCCACGAAATGAATTCGTCGACGTTTAGCGAGTTAACCGAATAGTAAATTTCCAAAATCGTCAACGGATAGAGCGCAGCGAGGCAAACGCTCAAAATGTCGGCGACTTTTTCAAACGAACTAGTCGTCGGAAACCTCAGGTTGAAATGAAGCTGATATATTTGAGCCAATGTAACAGGTAATACCTTGAAGCTTTGGGACTTGGCTACCAGGTGGCCTCTCTCGATCAGATCCAAAGTGAGTTTAGCGAAAAGAAACGATCCATTGCTGGCGGTTTGCAAGTGTTGGCAGAACTTTAACTGTCCCGTTGTGCCGGCTATCAAATTATTCTGAATACTGGCGCTGTTGGTAACTCGGAAACCGATGTATTCCATCATGTCTTTTATCACATTTTCTTTGTTCGTCGAATTTACGTCCACACTAAAATTTATAATACAAACAATAAAAATATAATATCAGTTTCAAAGTTTATCTACAGATATAATATTATTGTATACATGTAGATATCGGATTTAAATACATTGAAGAATCCTTAAATTTAATACGAGTATAAATTAAAAAAGTAATTGAAAAATGTACTACAGTGCGATTAAAGCATTGAAGTGTATACGTTATCCGAAACGCTTGTAATGCCTACGTATTAGTTTAATTTATAAATTTTGAATATGTTTGCTAAAACACTTGTAAAATACTTAAATGTCTTTAAAATCGAAAATATTCATAAGTACGCAAAAATGCGTAGGCATACAAATTGTTAATTCATATATTATAATAGCTATATCCGTTTAGAAATTGAATTATTTAATACACACATTATTATTAAGTACAGACATCACGTCAGGCGATGACTTACCAAATTTTCGTCAACGGTAACGATGGTAAAGCGTCTTCCAAGTTAGTTCTCAATGTGGCGATGATTTTGAGCCAAGCTGGAAACTTTGGCATGTGCTTCACTAAAAACGAAGCAATCGTGTCTCCGTGATCAGGCCGGTGATATTCGGCTTCACACAAGCCATCGATGACGATCACTAGACCACCAGTGCCGATTGTATTGGCCAGTCGACTGAGTGCGTTCAACGGTTCCAGGACACCTCTTGTAAACGCCGCATCGGGGTCCACAATACACTCGCGCATCGACAGTGAATCCTGCAGTAAATAAAAATGTAAATATATATATATATATTGCAAGGATCTTATTAAATTTAAATTTTAAAAATGCGTTTAAAATAAATTTTAGATCATTAATTTCATTATTAAGTATGACATAATCGGTACACCAGAAAATCTATATCAACACAACAATTTGTAATATTTTATTTTTTACAATTTTTGTCAATTAAATTATTTTAATTATCATTCCTCAAGTACAATTTAAAACATAATAAATATGTAATATGGATTAAAATTAATTTAAACAAAAAGGCGTAGTATGTTGGCGCATAATGCTATTAGTTTTTTGATAGTACTCACTACTTACTGACGTGCAAAAAATATATATAATAACAATTGTTACATTTTTATGTATTCTCTATTAAATATATTATAGATAGATGTTTATTAATTTAAAACTTTAGACGCATTATACAACTTTTGTTTTCCATCACGGACCGTATCGATTTTAGTTTTTCTTTTCGTCTCACCTGAAGATTGAGTTCTGTCAGCACGTGTTGACGGTACATGTTTAGCTGGGGCGCTTGGCACAGCTGGGCTGCTAGCGAGTGTACGAATTCGGGTATAAGGCACGTGCTGTTATTGTCGGCTTGGCAAAAGTGGTAAGCGATCACGCGCGATGCCAAGGACTTGAGGTCTTCGGAAATGATCGAGGTTTGCGACGCGTTCACGTCGGACACTGGAAGCAACGAGATGAGAAAAGTTTAGAGAAACGATGCGTAACCTCAGGACACGACAATTGATAAAACCGCGCTTACCATTTGATTTCAGGCGGCCGAAACAGCTGTGCTCGACGAGCTGCAGGACGAACGCCGTTTTGCCCGTGCCCGGCAGCCCAGTCACTACAACGCCCGACGACTGGGCGTGCAGCATCGCTTTACTGATGTCCTGGACTAGCCACTCGCGGCCAAGGAACAACGGGTCCGACTCTTGTTGGGGAACCTCGAAGAACAATGGTTTCAGCACCAGCACTTGTTGCTGTTGATGCTGCTGCTGCTGTTGTTGTTGCTGCTGCTGCGGAGACGTTCTGTACTGAGCAAATCGCACTGTGCGGAAGAAAGACGAGTGGAAAATGATGAGTTAACGTCGTCAACAATTATTTCATATGCGAAAAATTTAATTTTTAAATTTGTAAGCGAATAAAATACCACCAAATACCATACCTTTTGGATCAATAGGTCCTTTAATTGTCCCGGACCTAGCGGACCTCCTGGTCGGCTGTCGCCTCGTTCTAAACGAACGCAAATCGTCTACAGAGCCCGCTTGCAACGCTACAGGACAAACACAAACAATAACGCACACGAACAATATAAAATCGCTGTTAATACAAAGCCGAAGCGAGATGAAAATGGTATAATTTATACGTATATTATGTATAGTTCTAGTTTAATTCAAAATTCCGATAAACGTCAAACATAGTATATAAAGTGTACGAGAAAATTTCATCCTATGTATTATATTTACTTTATTATATTAGTAAAAAATTTATTCAGACTTAAGAACATTCGCTTTATTTTTGAAAACAATAGAAATATAACATATTGCAAATACGTTTCGATTTTATTTTTTCCTATCCATAATTATATAATTATTATTTATTACTAACACGAGGGAGATCATAGTTAAAATAATTTCAAATTTTGCAATTATTATTATTTTACAAGAAATACTTAAACTAGTGTGTTTTGTAAAAATATATGAATTAAGTTTTTTTTTTGGATTCTGAGAGGATCAATAAATGTATTGATCGTACAATGATACGTGTTTTTATTTTTGTGTCTGTGTACACGATAAGTAATAAATAGAATGCTTCAATTTTCCCTTTGCAGATGGTTTTGGATAAAAAATTGACTTTAATTTGTACTCTAAAAAAGTCAAACTTACAGATTTTCAGTAATTTTATTATAATCCGGAAAAACAAGCAAACAATTAAAAAAAACTTGAATTTCTCACAAATACAATTTTATGTTATTAAAATAATAATTTTGTAACCACGATCATTTAAATTTAAATTTAATATGATTCACAATATTAATCTACTTAAAAATGAGTTCCAATCGATACCTATTATATAGCAAAGCGGTACTCACTTGCCTATCTTTTGATTTTTTAGAAATTATTTTGTATTAATATTGCATTACAATTTGAAATCTTCAGAATTTAATATTAGTTTATTTAGTATTCACATTTAAAACAATAAGCGTTATTTATTAATTCATATTGAAATTCCACTCACTAGTGACAGAATGTCTTCGTGTCAGAGGACTACACGAACCGTTGCTTTGTCCAGACATGGACATGAGAGATCCAATACTATCGGATGATTGCTCTTTGATAGCTTTGTGTTCAGTCTCCGAGGACCCCGTGAGTGTGGATACGGGACTCCCATTACTCGACACTGGTTTAGAGTTGATGCTCGCCAAGGATACGTCCTCTGTAAACGATCTAGAATTGTTGTCCCTCGACAACAGCAGTCCCAGTCTTGTGTACAGAGTGTCCGAATTGCAACTTCTCTGGTTCAATGATCCACGCGGTTTTACATTTCCGCCTTCGTCATCTAAAGTATACAAAACGTGGAGCAATTAATAGAGAAAATATTTTTATCTAAACAAATTACGAACAAATTACGATAAGAACAAAATTGAGTTAAAACAAATAAGTGCACAAAGCTATTGTCCGTGTCCATGCAGTTACATATATAAAAACAAACAAAAGTGAACACAAGACAAAAATAGGTGCTCTTCAAATATATGGCTTATTTTACATACACACGCGGAATATCAACCTCCCCATTGCAGTGTTATACTTACTTTTTAGACGCAATAATTTTACAGACATTATATAACATTGGTATAATTTGTAGAATTTATTCATCTGATCTAATTTAAAAAAAATTATTCACAATTTATGAGACAAAACTAGGCCGAATATTAAATAGAACAAATGCATCTTGAATATAATAAATTATCGAAACCAAATTGTTTTGAATTCGTTGATTTCCTTAACGTAATTTATTTTATCAAATAATAAATAGTCAAAATTCCGCCAATAAGACCCACGTGACGATCAAAGTATGTTTGCAATTTAGTTAAATACACTTTTAAAAATTCAAATTTATTGATTTAATCTTGTTGTAGAGCAAAACATTTAGGTTAACTCTTAATTGCACAGTACATTCAATGATTCAACTACTACAGTGAAATAATGTTAATAAAGTGTTTTCTAATAAGCTTAAGTGCACACACGGCCAACGACAAACAGAAACGTTTCATTTTTAGAACCTAACAAACCTCTCAACGACCACAAAGATCTAATCTTGCCCAACACCACCGAAGACCATCGCCGTTGATCCGAAGTTACTGTTGATGTCGATGCTGACATTACTGAATTCCATAATGCATTTAATACAAACCATGTTAAATTAAGTGTATACATAGCTTATAATATCTTAAAATAAAGATTGATTAAAAAAATAAAAACTTACCGGAGAGTGCGTTGTCGGAAGGCGACCTAGATCCACTGCGCATGGACCATTGATTTCGTATGGTTTTCGGACTAAGAAAAAATTTTCTCCTACTCTGTGGAGGAGTTGGACAGCCTAATGAGAATAAAAACAAATAAAAAAATTAATCAAATATTGCCAAAACCGTTTTCATGATTTTTTTTTTCTTGCGAACTCACTTTGAGTCATGACTTCGTCCAAGTTCCTGTTAGGTCTAGGAAGCCTACTAGGCGAATGACTGAGTTCCTGTGATCCTTGCCTCGACTAAAACAAACGAAAACAACAAACAGTAATAAGTAACTGTAACTACAAATACACACACATAATATTATTGCAATAAAATTATTATTGGAATAGCGTAGTTGAGTAAATGGCAATTACTTGAACGTAAGGCGAAAAGTGTCCGTTAGTCTTGACCCTTGGTCTGTTGGCTCGTGTGTTTTGCACGTAAATCGGCTCATCGGTCAATGATTTCTTGGAAGCTGTATAGAGAAAGGAAACAAATATTACACGTTTATTAGTATTCTACACACGCTAAAACTTTCGTCAAGACGGTACAGCTGGTATACGCGTGGCAACATGCATACATACACACGTTAATCAACTGTCACTAACACGCGTGGAAAAAATAATAACCTACGCGATTTAAACGTAACTTTTTTGACTTCAATTAAAAATATATTTATTTCGTTTTGGTTCATTGTCTATTTTTTGTTTTCGACTTCCGACAATTAGAGGCGACGATGGCGCATGATGCGTATAATAGGTATAGCTTTACCGAATATCGTGGGAAACATGACAATATAAAATAAAAACTCAACAACTGTGCTTTACCCTCTGCCAAATAATAATTAAAAAAAAATATTATATGACTAAACATATTATATTTTAAGTGTTGCGCACAACAATACGTATATGGGTGGCAACAAAACCAATTCAAACTATAAACTAGGCGTTTTTGTATAGAAATTATTATGAATCGCGCCACCCATTTAAAATATATATTAATTGTTTAAAATTATAAATTCTAATATATATATGTATATATAATATAAACATATATTTGAATTTTAATAATACAACGTGAACTTTTATGTAATATACATAATTTAAAAACTTCTAATAGCCTTTATAGAAACTCTTTGAAATGAAACTTTTTAATTTTTAATTAAAATCATTTTTCCGAGTACTTTCATGAAATTGGTCAAGGAAAACATTTTGAAACCTTTGTATTTTATAAACTGTTAAAACAAAATATAAACAAAATGTTGATCGTTGAGAAAGTTTTAATACGTGTATTATTAAAGTAATCATGCGTTCGCAACTCTTAATTTTACTACTCTTCCTACCTAATAATAATAATAATAGTAATAATAATAATGTAAAAGCAATCAAAAATATAATAAAATAATATCCGTTTTATATTTTCGTATATACCTACTACCTATTTAGTATGGTATAACATTTACCATAAATATTTTATTATTTATAATTCTGAATTAAATTAGTTTATTCAAAGAGCACATTTAAATACAATAAACGCAGATTTATTTTTGATGGGTTAAAAACAAATGTTTTGTAAAAACAATGATTACTACAGCAGTCATTATTATAATATTAGTTACTATGTTGTTTTGCAATATTATTTATTATTTACAAACTTAAATTTGATATAATTGAATAAATAATATTATCATAATGATTTACGAAAAACAAAAATAAAGTACGAAATTATAAAATTCCTAATTCCTGATTTCTTTTAAATTGTTTCCCCGAAAAGGTCGTTTGAAGCATCCGGTGTATATTTTGAATGGTTATTGGCGGTTGTTGTTTTTTTTATTTCTATTCTCTGAACTTTTAAAACGGATAAACTTTATCAAATATAGCCTTTATTGAATTCAGTCAATATTTTAAGAATCAAAAGTTACAGTCCTATTTCCAAACGAAAAAGGATATACAATACCAGTATAACAACATAATAATACATGTTAAAATAAATAAGTAAAAATCTGTTAAAAAGTGATCGTTTAATTAATGATAATTATAAATTTAATTTAAAAGAAAAATCAAATAAAAACTCTTCAATTTATGAAATAATAAATAAGTAATTGTATAACGACGATGAAAACTATCTAATCAATGAAGAATAAAAATTAAATTTGAAAATAATAAAAGTATATGGATAAACAAGTAAAGCCGATATAATTTTTATCGTAAAAAAAAACTTCAATTAATAAATTTGAACATAATAGTCGTGTTTGACCGTTTACTACATCGTAATTACGAAAAATACGTCGTCTAACTAAATTACCATACAAATATGACGTAAAATACGAACAATAATCATACGTTATAGTACATACGAGAAAAAAAAAAAAAGCCAAATCTAGAATATTATAGGTACCTTTCGTCGGGGCTTCTTCGGCGGCCGCCGCAGTGGCGCACAGCGGACAGCCCTCGTTGCGGAACATACACGCGTAACAACGTTCGTGTCCGCAAGAGTCGATGAGCTTTCTCTTTTTGCCCTTGTCGAAAGGCATGCCACAACTGGGGCACGTCTCGTCGCCATCGCCTTCTTCCAACAACTTCCGTATGGCGGCCAAATCTGAAAAACGAAAAAAAAAACCGAACCGTTATCATACGATGATTTGTCGAACACGTGAACATCAACATATTAACACGCTTTAATGTTTAACAGAGTTCGTACGGCAACGATTTGCGTTCACCGGAAAGCACCTCCGCGAAAACTACCCTCGGATGACCGCATCGCCGACTTTACTCTCTCAACAGATATAATAATTTATTATTATTGCTACGACCTACAGAGTAAAGTTATTATCGTTGCTTTAGAAAGCGCGCGTTATCGGAACGAATAAACAGTTTTCGCACGTCTACATTAAACCGGCGGGCCAGTGAGTAATATAATACCACCTGATTATACGCATGACGGCGGCGTCATTATAATATTTCCTATCGCGATGGTCGTAGTCTTTGCCGCGTGACCGTCCGAGTGCGCCATAATCAGTCACAGCAGGTGAAAACAACAACAATAACAAAAAAAACACTGCAGAGGAGTTCATTGACGACCATGATGCCAGTGAAGTGACGGACGGACGGACGGACAACTATTGAACGACCTCTCGAATCCGGTTTTCATAATATCATACTATAATACTATATACTATTACTAACACACCGGTTTTAGCCGAGACGTGTGGGCGTACGAAAATCGTCGTACCGTCCGAATGTCTAGTCCAACGATACCAATTTATTTCCTCCCCTTCACAGAAATAAAATTATAAATTATCGCGACGGCGCACGTTTTTCACCTAAATCTGTCCGTATACGTATTATTATTATCGGTGCAGTGCGAAGTCGGCGGTATATTACCGATGATGTTGCCACGGTAATTCCTGTACGTTTCAAGCCGGATTTCCATTACATAGTGTCGTATTCGAGCCTATATTTAATAATATGTTCATAAAAAAATGTCGGTAACACGCGTTTCATAAAAGTTAAGTGTATTCCATATTTTATACATCGTAGGTATATGGTATAGTAGAAACCTGACTTTATAAATCGGGAATTTCGCATTTCGGAAAACTGGACTACCACAACCAGTCAATGACGGAGTCACATAATGTATAAGGTTGTATATAGTACATATATATACCTACTGCAGTCGTAAGGACGCCGCCCCCTCTCTCCCGCCGACGTATAATCGTTCCCACAGTTGTAGACGGTTTCCCACGCGCCTTTACAACGTACAATCCGCAGCCCCGGGACAAACAACGGCTGCATTTATCGGAAGTGGGTTTTTTTTTTTTGTTCCCTTTGCCCTTTTTATGAAATTTAAAAAAAAATCAATTGCACAAAAAACAATTGCTTCAACATATATACACTTTGAAAACTGAAATAGTTTGGCTGCGACTCGCGCACTTGCCACTACCGGCGGAAGGGGAGGGATGTACGAAGATGCGTATGCGTAAAAAAATAATCGTATATACACGCGACTCTGCCTACACATATAGATACCCGGACCATGGTATGAGTAACAGTGCACGATGTGGGAGCGGCGATGTCGTCACATATGGTCCGACGTCTTCTCGCGTAGTCATAAATCGTTTTCGGGACGCACAGCAATAAAAAACAGATCCGAAATTTCAAACTGCCCCAGAGGCGTTTCGGTAATTACTGAAAAAACGTCCGCAGATATAAACATACACACTAAACGCCACACACACATCATAATAGATAGACGCTGTAGCTACAGCCGCGCATATACGTATTAACATATAGACTTGAGTATACGCATAGATCTGCAGAAGAACAGGAACGAATAACGAAAACAGATTCTAGTACAATAATAGATCGTACATTGCAAGAGATTTAGGGGTCGAGTTATACATACGTGAAAATCGGTATAGACAGACAAACATTGTAACGGCGTACACAATATAATATTAAATAAATTATAGTTACGCACATCTGTCTTGTCGACATTAATTAAGCGTTACAAAGTAAAAAAGTAATTGGAATCATTTCTACATCACTTCTACGTTACTTATAGAAAGGATACAAAATAACACAAGAGGCATGTCACATAATATTATTTTTTCGTGTAGATATAACTAAAAAATAATACATTTCGAATAAGAATATAGAATTACATATTTACGAGATTTTTATCTTTTATTACCAAATGTATACCTAAAACTTATCTGATCAGAAGTATTTAAAAAAAATATGGATTTCAAGGTTTAAAATATGTAATATATAAAACTGAATTTATATATATATATAATTGTATACGATGTTATTTAAGTTTTCTAATGACTGTTTGAATTAAAAATCAAAATATGACATGTTTCATGCATGAAACATGCATTATTGTACTTTATGATTTACCATGTAGCATTAAACAAACGGCGCGTTACAAACAAGCATGACAAAAACAATCCTCAAATCAATCTGGTGTTAGTACATATAGTAAAGTCGTAAAGTAACGAGTATATTTAAACATAACTTATTTTATGTAACCAAACGCTGAATTGATGAATAAACATATAATGTTTTATGGTGGTCGTCTGTATAATGCAATGTGGCACGCGGTGTGACTGCGGAATGAACGAATTCGACCGACGCAGCGGATGATCTCGTCTGGTTGTGATGAGAACTAATTTTGCGGGCACACACGAATATAAATATAACATGCACGTGTAATGTGTACGTTTTCGATGTAAAATAGTGAATTAATTTTCTTGTGGATCCCGTTGAACGCAAACTAACGAAAACAAATCTTCTTCGATCCGCGTTTCCGTCTTAATATCATACTAAATCGCGTCAACGTGCGGTTTTTGGTCGATGTTTTGACAAAAATATTGTACACTGAAATAACAGGTACTTGATACCTATATACGCTTAAGTACACCTCGTGTATAATAATATAATATCGTCGATATATTATATTATCAACCGTGTTGAACGATAACATGAACGTAGCTATAACAACATGCGATCGATGCGAAAAAAAAATTATATTAACTATATACACATAGTTTTCCCCGTGCAGCGACGGCGCGCTATACCGCGGTCAAGGTTAAAGTTTTGGCGATAGCACACATCCGATATAGGTATTTTCACCTCAAAAGTCGAACCCTGAAAAACACTCACAGGCGGATAGGCGTTATTTATATATAATCATAACTTTAACCGAGATTTGTTTTTTTTTAGAATTAAATCAAAGGCGAAACAACAAAAGCTAGGATAATACAATATTTTTCATTGAATTTTATTACGCCATGTTTTATTGTTTTAAGGGAATACTTCGACGTTTCGCCCAAATCCTAGTGTTATGGTACGCACGCGATAGTAAAATATGTCGCACCACAGAGCGTATTTAATATACATAGTATCATTCGCCGTGTACCGACGTTAACGACGTACCGAGCACGCTGAGACTTAGACCGCTGACGGGTCTCGGATGGCCCGCTCTGCTACCGCTCTTCAGCGGGCGACGTGTTCCTCCTCCGAATCCCGTGCTCTTGGTTATCATGTCGAACAACGATAACACCGTTACGCACTATACGCACTAACCGTTTTATCGTTTGTAAAATATAATATTATTACTATTATATAGCCGTCGTCGTCGTCGAAAATCGAATGATAATAACACACGCTACACGCACAGCGCGACCGCGAATCGAACAACCGCGGATTGCGAAGACTACGAGACTACCGACTACAACAACCGCGACTGCGACGACTGCGGTGCGTTCATTGACGCGTACCCGACACGAATGGCCGAGCCGCCGTCAATAAAGTTCATTGAGAGAACCAGTGGGCCAGGACGACTTCCCACACGCGCGCAACGTACATGCATGCTCGTACACGGCGACACATACGACGAGACGCACGCACGCACATTCGACCCACTGCAGTTAGTGTACAATAATATACGTTTACGTTACCATTAATAAATACTTTTTTTTATCTTCCACCGCACATAGCATAGTGTATACAAACACATTTTATCGTATAATATACAAATACAAAAACAAATATATATATATATATTAACCGGTGAGTAAATGAGTGTACGAGTATATTTTAATATTTTTAATGAGAACCACTCGTATCCTCGACCCCACAATAAATCGATAGCTAATAATTTATCATTTCATTGATGTTTTCTACGTTTATACGCGCGCGTTTTATGCATATTACATAATATTATAATAATATCCGAGTCAGAGATGGGCGTGTCTGTACCTATATATATAATATATTACGATCATAACCCATTTCACACTGCACACAAACGCGCGCGCGCTGTAATATAATCACAAAGGTATATTTTTAATAAGCCTTCGACGGGCGAGGTACAAAAAAAAAAAAAAAAAAATGGTACAATCGAAACTGTTTATTATATCGAGACTGTAAACACGACGCGCGAAGACCCGAATCGAGTGGCCCCAATTAACTAAGTCGGACGTTCAATCTAGCGTACATCGCATATAATATATTTTCGTCTTCACGATACGTATATTATTATTATTATAAATGAATAGATCCAGTATAATGGTATACACATTGCAAAGAAAGCGAGTCAGAGCTCGTATTGTAATATTTATAAATGATATGAAACGCCGGCTCTAACCTAAATTATGTCAAATGACCCTACGACTTCACTCATCCGTATATCGACCAAATCGTCGTTGTCGGAATCCGACTACTTGACGATTTATTTAATTGACGTACAATAAATTTAAAATAAATTTGTAAGTGTGTGTGTGTATGTACGCTATACATAATAAACGATAACGGAAGACTTACAGCGTACAACACGTACGGTTTTATTTTTTCAAACACCCCAAACGAGAGCTTTTTATATTTTATACATACGTAAATTTAGAAGCGCGTAATCAACACACACAAATCAAGTTATCGCACGTATAAAAACCATAAACTGTTGACTCACCGACAAAATTTAAGCCAGTAGCATTAAACTTATATATACACGTCTTGAGTGTTTTGGGGTGAGTGTTATGGCACCGATATATGTATAATGTTATACTGTTAATAAAATCAAATGCCTCGTAACAC